TATGCCATGTGTCTATTTTTCAATTAATCGAAGGTGAACAAAGTTAATTTACATAGTTGGTAGTCTTTTAAACAAGCCTCTACTTGAAAGGTGTTGGAAAAACCTTAGAAGAATACAACAGTGCATTCATTTCCCTAACGGGCAAGGTAATTATATAATGCACATTGTAGGCATAAGCTTTATAAATTCAACAGCATTCTTGTTAACTACATAATTGATAACTGTCTCGTATATTTTCTATCCTCAACCCGAAGCCAGCCTGCACCAAAAATTCAAATATAATTGCTCACTTTCCACAATATTGGACAATGCCATTAAATACATTGAGGTGGGATGCCTAGGAAACTGTATCATTCATTTTGGAACAAGTAGAATTTTTATGAATCTAGACAATTAGAGTATTTTTTATACAAACAGTGACAAATACAAGCTATATTCTATGTTTAATTTCAACCATCTCAGTGTTTGAAAAAAAAGTTAAGCGGCCCCCCCCTAATGTTTTCAATGGATGCCCTTGTGCACAGCCTTACGGTGTTATAACTATTTTGTAATTTGTAACATTCCATGACACCATTAAAGTTTTCTCACTGTTATTCTCACTACAAGCTGGGCAGTAAACATCACCGGAATCGCCAGTCTAATACAAAAATTGTCTAAATACATCAGGCATTGAGCCCTGTCACATGTGACAACATTAGCAACATGTAGCAATCAAGGTTATGGCATCATTATCGAAGTAAACATGTTAGCATATTTAAAATATCTTATCTACATGTTATTATATCTCTTTTTTTTCTGTAAGATATCAATGATTATGTCAAAACAATAATATTCATTTGGAAGCGACCATTTGTCATGTTTATAAGATTTTTGTAACAACTTTGTCATCAATGACAATTCTGTCCCATTGTAAAATAGACTTTTAATTTTAATTTCATATTAATTTAAAGGAAAATTTATTTCCATAATGGATTGAAACAAACCCCATACTTCAGGAGGATAGGCCTCTGATTGGCTCTTCAGATCATGTGAGGTGTAACCGACTTCAGCTGTGATTGGTCAAATAGAAGTAGACCTTGTCCAATGACATTACAGAGTGGAAATAAGATGTGACAAATGCAGTACACTGCCTGCTAGTGAAAAAAGCATTGCACCAACAATGTAGTACAAGATGCACAAGTAGCTTCAACTTCAATTGAATTTGTTCCTTTAGTTGTAGAAAGTTGTACATAAGATCACTTTAAACTAAAGAGAAAAAGATCACAGTTACATCAGCATTTGCACACGAAAGATGTACACTGCACATTTTGAACATACTTGAATGGCTAAAACTTGCCAAAATAGCAGACTGTTGTATTACACAATTACATAAACAAGATCATGTATTGTACAGTGTTGTCCAGAGTAGTTTTCATGTTTGCCAACCACTGAGTAACTATTGTATTCTCACAACGACAAAAAATCATTTCTCAATTGCTTACTGCCAATAGTTGAAAGCGTTCGTTTCTATATATCGTATATACTCTGATTTTGAAGAAGTCACATATAAATGCTCAACTATGCAAGTTCCAAAGTCTATTTTCTGTGTGAATACTACATGCTGTAGGAATCTATTATAAAACTGTACTGTATGGAAGTAACAACAAGCTGTGTGCAGAATCCCGGGCAGGCGCGGGTTTGCTGGGGTCTCTCCTCATTGGTTCTTCGGTGGCTTGTTCACTGTGGCATACAGTGGCTCCTACAAAATAGGAGAATAAGAAGCATTTAATACTACAAACATCAACAAAACTTGATGTTGGTTATAGAAATCTAAAAACAAGAGTAAAATTTCAAAACTGCAAGCTGCACATTAGTAATTACGTAGTTCTAGTATGAGTGACAAAAAATTACATTTTAGATGTTTCATTTTTCCTTAATCAGTATGTTACATACGAGTAGTCTCTTCTGATCACTACTAAATTACAGAAATAAAATGCTAGTAGAGATTGGGAATGCAAAGCAGACTTGCCTCATGCGTTCTAACTGTTAACCAACCTGCTGGGTAAAAGGGTCCAGGCCAAACGGATCAGGCTTTGGTGGGGCCTGCTGAAACAACACAAACTTCAAACATTAACCTTTTACAAAAAAATCCAAAAGGCAAAACTACATTTATAAGCAGGAAGGTAGATTTTAGCTTCAGAAAAGTGAGTAAATTGCAAAAAACTAATCCTCAAGGAGATGGCTTCCTTAGTCTTCTGCACCTTTCTCAGAGACTTCAAAATGGAGTTGCAGGTGAGGAAAACAGACAACAAAAATGTAATGACAACCAGAAATGGCCAAAACAGACTAATTCATTAGCTTGGAGCAAAAAAAAAAAAACACATCCTGGGGGGGTAAGAGATGCACTTGACACAATGACAAGTTCTTGTCACAGGACTAGTACTAAACAGTGACTGGTTGTAGTGTGGGTAGCCTTGTTTCCCAGAAAAATGACCTAAACCTTTAATAAATGTCACCCACTGGAAAGACTCCCAAACACTGACCTAGACTAATCAACATATTTCTGTGCCTTATTGATGTACACATGTTCTCAAATAGTGTGAGTGGGCAAAATAAAAGAAAACAAAAAAGATACAGGAATACTGTAATATATGTACTATCACAGAAGCTATAATTAAAACTTGAGTATAAAGTTAAATACTATACAATACTGCAAAATTAGGTTTTCATAGTACGCAGGCTTGTGGAGATAGTCAATGAGCTTTTTGTTACATATTGGCATACACACTGCGGCAGGTGATGAATGGACTATACCACACTACGTTCAAGAAGTTTTTTTTAGCCTTTGGGTAGTTAGTACTTCCAGGAGGAAGGGACTCTCAGTTTTCTTAACATTTGAGATCAAATAATAAATTTTCTTTGCACCGTAACAACTAGGGAGCCTAAACTAGGGGAACATCAAGGAATTTCTGCCAATGTCAGTGCAAAAATATGTGCATTTTGGGTTTGAATCATGTCCTGAATGATTTGGGGGACCTATTTCTGGTGGGCAAATCCAAGAACCAACAAATAAAATTGGTGAAGCTTATTCAAAATATTTCTGAGAATTGTTGACACGTTGACATCAACAACACTGCAGACTAACATTACATGTTTTATGAATGTGGCCTCCATAAATTATGCAACAAAATCGCATTCTGTGACAACATGTTACAATATACTTGCGATAGTATTTGTTTACTTTGCTGTCCTGTGATAGATTATCACAATTTCTGATAAAAAAACATCCATTAGAATTACACAAGACTTGAAGTAATATTCCTGCAACTGCTAAAATTTTCTTGATGATGTCCCTGGTTTTGTTCAGTTTTCATTATTGGTTCACATACTAAAACATGTTTGTATGTATGGCATTGTTTTCAATAGCATCTTTCTTACTGTAATACACATTCCCAATAACATAATATGGAGGATTAGTCATGGTGGAACAAACCCATTAACAGCTGAAAGGTGAAGCCCTATCACCTTTTCAAACTTCCACCAGTATTAGTTTGTATGAATTTTTAATGCACTGCATTGTGTGCCTTTGCTATATATTGCCACAGTTGTTATTGTAACCATACCATGATCAGAAAAACTACATTGGGGTCGTACCTTTGCAGTATTTTTGCTGTCGCCGCCTCCAAAGTCAAACGGTGCGAATGGCTCGTTTCCGAAGGGGTCATTACTGGGTGCGGGGTTTGCGGCCGGGGTGGGGTTTAACGACCCTAACCCAAATGGGTCTGCCTCTGCTGTGGGTGGTGCTGCTCGGGTCGGCTTGGGAGGAGCAGCTCCGAATGAATCCCCGAAGCCAAACGGATCTGAAGAGGCCGGGCCATTCTGTTGCCGGGGAGCTGGGGTGGGGGCCATCCCGTTAGCCGACGGCCTGGGTGGGGGGGCCGGGCCGGCCAGGTCGGCTCCCGGCAGGGGGGGAGGGGGGCCGGAGGGAGGGGGCTTGCTCTCCGCCTCTTCGTCTGCTTCAATCCCCACGGCCGAGCCGAAGTACGCAGAGAAGGCGTCTGACGTTCCCTCCACGCCGCCCTCGTCCGGAGGAGCCATCTGCTTCTTGTCTTGGTCGGCGGCATAGTCTAACAAGTCCGCAAACGGGTCGGGGGCGTCCGACTTTTTGGGTTCCTCTGGGGGAGGGCGTCTGACCAGGGGCTGCCCCGCCGTGTTGAGAGGCGGGCTGGCGATGGCCGCTGTGTTCAGCCCGACCGACGCCGTGGTGGAGTTGAACGGAGAAGCCCCGAATCCTGCGGGACTACCGAAACCGGGCTGTGCCATCATTGGCGGGGACTGCATGGTGGTGACCATCGGAGCGGTACCGAAGCCCTGGCCAAACCCTGCCTGTGGTTGATTAAAGCCCATGGGAGGCTGGGAGAAGCCAGGCTGCTGGGCTGGTGGGGCGGTGAAGGACCCCCCGAATGGGTCGATCTGCTGCTGGATGGCAGGGTTGGCGAAGGCTTGGTTGGCTGGTGGCTGGTTACCCTGCACAGGGGAGGAGAACGGGTTACGGTTATACATGTTGCCACCCTGGCAAGTACAAATGGAGGTTGTAATGTCGCAGTTATGTCTGGCACTAATGGTCCGCGGCCTCAATGAATAGAAATGCTCTTGATGGGGCCAGTTGAATGCAGTTCTGGGGATCCAGACCTTCATGCTCAAGTTACAAGCTAGCTGTGTTTCCCTGAAATAGTTTTGAGGTTGCAACCTTAAAACTCATTTTCTACCTTTTTTACCAAATAAAGACAAAATTTTCTATCACACAATCCTATCTGTTTGTCCTAAAAAGACCTGCAATTGGAATTTTTTTATACCACAAACTATACTCCCAGTCATTTAGCTGTGGTGAAGAGGTTGTCAAGTGCTGTTGCCAAGAGAATATCAATACACCAGAACACAGGAGCCTGTACACTCCAGGGGTTTGTTCAAATACAGCTCCACACAAAATCAATTTCAGGATACTGCTTCCAACAACTTCACAAAGCTGACAGCAACATTCATGGACCTTGACATAGTAAGATTTGAGACTGAACACTTTATACCACATACAGATTCTCCCTAGCCTCAAACACTATCCTGAATATGCAAAACAGAAGTCATGTTTTTTAGACAGTGCCAGACTTATTTCTCTTACCAAAGAGCTGCTTCAAAATATTCAGATGTTTTGAGCAAAGTACATGGTCTTAATTTTCATGGAAAATACTGATATAATAACTCTTTTGTAATACTAATAAAACAATTTGGTTTACCTTTCATGACAGATTCTAGGTAAAAATACATGGCAGTCCATTTCAAACTGATTTTAGAATTATACAATATTTACCAGACAAGCTACACCAAATAGCTTCCATTGGCCCTTATTATGTGTATCATCTCAGGGAGAACAGCCCTATGTATTTGCAGCTATTGTAATCTGACCTTACAAGCGACCAGAATTTGTCACAACAGAGACCAAAACACAATGTACACACCACAAAAATAGACTTTCACACTCATGCAAAGTGATTAATAGCTGAGTTATCATAAGTAAACTCAAAGGAATTATGCTACAAATTTTATATTATACTAAGAACTGCAGTAGAATACTCCCATGTACTGTGTGAAACCCTACAGAATGGGACATATGGGTAGAATACACTGATCAGAAGTTGTTCATGGCCCAATGAATGATACAACTCATTAATATGTAGAGATACAGTCTGGCCAGTTTGCTAGGATTAGTGTTGGGTGGGGCAATGTTTACTTTTGATGCCTCTTTGCATTTATGCACATACATGTACTCCGAGACACTAACTTTCAAACAACACATAGCTACAGCTGCCACATGTACATATTTATACAAACTGGTTTCAATTTCTATAAATATCAAGTAGTATCTATGCTATGCTGCTTAAATCTGAGGTATAATTGTCATACATAAACTTTTATATAATTTCTATAAGCCTTTTAAACACAAAAAAAGAGCACACACAAAAAACAACACTTGGAACATGCATATATGTAACACTGAACTGAGCACCATGCTAGTGTTAGGGCTAGTGCTGGAAAAAAATGAAAGAACAAAATGGAAGATACATTCTACTGATGGTCATGTTAGTATGCAAAAAGACAAGACTACAAGTACACAACAAACCAAAACAGAACATGCAAGGTGGAAATTAGCAACTAGGAAGTGATTGTTGGTGAAGGAAGGAAAGTTCTGAGAAGAAAGGAAAAGAAAAACAACACTAGGTACTACCCTTCACCAAATATAAAAAGCACCACAACAACCCACACCAATAGGGGCACGTATCAGTACTTTACCCGTCTCTCACTGTCCCTGGACTCATTGGACTCGGGGAAACTTGTAGAAATTGCTGACGTAGCTAGAGTAGACGAATCAGCAGTGGTCACTCTAAAGGAATCTCCAAACGGGTCAGTTTTTACAAGGTCCTTATTCACAGGGGTGGAAAACACAGTTTTTGTCTCCCTTGTGATCACCCCTCCAGTGCTGAAGGATGTGGTTGGTTTAGAGAAATCGCCTCCTCCAAACGGATTAACTACAGGAGTTGTTGAAACTCCGTTAACAAATTCTTTCCTATCTACTGTGAACGGAGAGTCACTGAACGGATTGGACTGTTGTGATTGGCTGCTACTTGAAAACGACTCGCTCTGACTGGGTGACTGTTGGAAAGGAGAATCTGCAAACGGATCATCGAGAACACGGATAACCCCAATTTGCCTCTCGGGTGATGTTTTACTGCTTCCAGAGTCCAGACTTGGGAAGGAGGGTCCACTTGATTGGCTGCTAGTGTCTGAATGTAAGCTTGTCTGGGATTGGTTAACAGGAGTTGACTGTAAGATTGGCTGTGATTTGCTATTAGGAGGAGGAGGGAGAGAGACTGATGACAATTGGCTGGAAGGACTTGGTTGCAATTTGGACTGTGATTGGCTGTTGACAGGGGTTGGTATCAAGACAGGCTGTGATTGGTTGACAGGTATGGGTTGCAGAGGCTGATTGGCCTTGATTGGTTGAAGCAGACTGTTGAGAAAATCATCACCAGGTGTTGTAGCCGAGCTGCCAGGGAGACTAGATGACCCCATAGGGGTCAAAATTTCATTCTGTAAAACACACAGTAAAGGGCAAATAGTAACCATACATGACGCTATAGCAAAGGCATAGGACAGACATTATGGGAAGTCTTTGAAAGTTGAGGAAATCAGATACAGGTACATAATGTATATTTACAGAGTCAATGAAATGAAAGGGACCATATCAGAAGTATTCTCACAAATCAATATGCATATGGTTAGTAGAATCACACATGTAAATTTTGACCAGGATTTCAAGGTTGCTGAAGGGACTACAATACAAGAACACATCAGAGAGGAAATGACATTTAAGATTAAAAGTACACTATTGGAAAACAATGCTGTTGGTTTGCTTGTGAAATCATTGTGAACTTTTGAGATGGCCCCTCATGGGTACCCATCACCAGACTATAAAATCAGCACCATGGACAGAGATAACCACCATTAACCTTCTCCCTGCTGCCTGACCCTGTAAGCAATAGGGCATTGCTAGCCAAAAGGCTACAATAGCATGCTGAAGATTAACTTTTAGTACTCCATAGATATACCACATGTATCAATATTGCAGTAAGCTAGCGAGCTGAAGGTTGACTATATGGTACATTCACACACAAGCACGGCAAAATGTACTTTTCTTGTTAAAGCTCTTGATTTATGAAGATACCCGGTAACTTAGAGACAAGACTTCCAAGGATGTAGCCAGGCCAGGTAACAGTGAGTTTAAAGGAATAAGTGGATTAAGAAGTACTGACATATATAGTCCAGTTACATTGTTTGAGATGATAGTATTTGTGTAATAATGAGAATAATTATAAGAGGAAGTGAACCTAATATGGGCTGATGGCCTTGCTACATCCTTAAAAAAACACACACAAAGAAAGAGAAGGGAACATATATAGTAACTGGACAAGAAAGTTAAGTTAACCTCCAGCAGTCCATGGTTACCCTTATAAACACATGAATGCATCAAGTAGAATTGCTACCCTGGGAGGTTAGTTCACCAAGGGTTAATACATGGCACACACATGACTGTATCCTCTTCCACATGCTTTATGACCCATCACCAAGGGAAAGATCTAAAGAGAGGGAGGAAAAGATCTCATGAGTTTATGTACCATGCATTCCACCTGGCATAAGCCTTTTGACAACGGTTTAACCTCGATGGTCTTTGGATTCATTTTACATGTATGTATTTCACATGTACATGGTAATTCACATGTATATCCATGTAGCTCTCTGTATACATATGAAACCTTGGGATTCTGGCTTTCTAAAAATGATGGATGAAGGAATTCAGACTTTTCTGGACAAGAAATTTAAAATCTGAGGTCTGATGGTTGAGTTAATGGTCTCATTGTCAGGTGAAAAGCACAATGGTCTCTCAAACTACACAGAAGCACTTCCACCACAAAATGAAAGAGTGCAGCGTCCAAATACCAGCGTCACGAGACTCTGTGATCTGGTCAGCCCCGTGGCGGCCCTCCGCCTGCGGGCAGGAACCTGTGGTGCAACGGTTTCCGAGGCCGAGTCCTGGCTATCTGTGTCGCGGAACGGATTGAACGGGTTCCCTACTGGCTTTTCCGGAATCACCTCCATTTTACGTGTTCTCGGCACGTCATCCAAAGTGCTAAGAGACGACCTGAATGGATTTCTACTTCTAGACAGGGGTGGCGGCTCTGGCTTTTCTTGGTGGATGGATTTGATTAATTCTAAACGAGCCTTGTCAAACAAGAAACGATCGTACTCGCTGGATGGGGTAGCAACCTTAGGAGTGTCCTGATATGTTGCAAAGGGATCTACCCAATCTGGACTAACTGGGGACTTTATAGTACTACAAGTAGACAACATGCGTTCTCTTGAAACCTTGGAAGATGGCACACTACTGATAGGGAAGCTTTCATCTTTAAGTGGCTCAGGTTCTTGAGCAAAAGGGTTGAGCTTGGTTCTCAATGTTCCTACTGGCTCTGTTTGATGTTTATTCATGTCGTTTCTTAGATTGTTTTGTGGAATATTGCTATTCACTGACAACACAGGACTACTACCATTAACATGGGTATGGTTAAATGTTGGTATTGCACTTGTAATAGAATGGGAGGATGTTGGCACTATAGAGCTAGATACAGCTGTTGCTTCTTTCACTGGAGGAGCATTCGTTGCTGTAACTTTCACAGAAGCATCTAAACGGTTCTCGTTCACTGTTGAGGTAGGGTCCTCGAAGGATTGCCAATCTTGCAGTTTCAGACTACTTCTACTCTTGGGTCTACTCCTAGCAATGTCACTATTGGCACCTTGCTGCCTGGACCTGTTTTTCCTGAACAAGGAGTCATTGTTTAAAGAAAGCTGCCATCTTTCCACAAACTTGTCCCTGTCAAATGCAGCTTTATCTTTCTGGATAAACTCGGTGGTGGAAAAGAGGCCGAAAGAGGGTTTTTGGTAGGGTGTTAGGTTTGGTGATGCGGTATTGAGAGCAGGGGTAGAAGCCCACGGACTCAGCCCCGACCGTTTTTTCCTCTGGAAAAAGACATAAGGAGCAGGGATGGCATTAGTACAATGAGGGACAGGGTGGGGGTAAGGGATGTCCCCAGAACTTTTTTTAGAGTTTCAAACCAGCATGTGTACATAGAGAGTGTGGGATAGCCCAGCTGGTAAAGCACAGCTTTTGTTAGAGTTTCTTTGCCACAATTTGCAGTTTTTATGGTCACAGTCCTGCCTACAGTTACTACTACCCTTTTATGAATAACAGTAGGAATTTCATTAAAATATCTTGTGCATTCTTTGACCAATAAAATTCATGAAGCATCCATAATGTTTTAGAAAAGCTGGAGACATCCCTTTTGTCTGCAGATGAATACCCATAGAGTCGGTCTCAAAAGTTCACAACCTCAAGTGAATCTTTTTCATACCAAAAACATACCACCACAGCCAGACAAGCTGAGCTCTATTCATAGAAATTGAGAACGCATACTACTAATTGAGCATAATTGCATGTTACAATACCAGATGCATATGTGCCAGGTATAAAATGACCCTTGATATCAATATTCTCTTCTTAACTGGTAATTGCATAATAAATTATAAAGGTGCATCTGAACAATGAAACAAGAATTTTGCACAAATTCAAGATTTAACAAAAATTTGACCCAAATTTGACAAAGGGGCAAACTTGTATCCAATCTGTATCAGTTATTAGGAGTAAAATGTCTATGAATTATTAATAGATTATCAAGAAAAATGACAGAAAAGCATCAGAATGACTTGCAATGGTCACGCAACAATGCAATGGCAATTAAATACATGAACAATTTCAGGGCAACAATTACAAACAGAACTTCATGAGTGCACACAACTTTGACTGTCTCTATTAGAGTGAGGTGTGTTTCATTCCATTCGTTTTTGCTGTGCAAGCACAGGGTAGAGAAACACCTGCAGTAAGAACAGTCATTGTGTTTGCTGTTGCTGATGATGTGGGAGTGACCTCTATCTTTCCAGCAAAGAAGTGCATGCACGTGACTGTGTTTTATGGGGGGACATGACAGTACATCAGTATACAGACTGCAAGTCCCTTTAGAAAGGACATATGATAATGGTAATGCAAATGGCTGTTAAAATGTCAAAGTGTTAGATTGACAAAGCTGTGTAAGCTCGTGAACATTATGTTGAATTCACAACTGGGAAAAATTCAGAACAGATTTTTTCACATCTCAAAAAGAGACGACAAAAATGACAAAAGGATGGACTCAGTCTTTCCTTTTTTCAACATCTGCATAAAAGCCTTGCAACAGCCTTGCTAAAAATTTCCATGGAGGTTAGGAGGTAAAACCAGTACAAATAGAAGGCTAATATTATATACACAAGCTGAAAAAAGCTTACAAAAAAGTACAAGACTTAGACAAAGAAATGCTGTGTTTACCACTGGAGCCACGGGGGAGCCGAACAGATCCTGTTGTCTGTTGGGAGTGTTGGCGGTAGAGTCAGGACTGCTGAATGGGTCGTTGGGCTGGGCAGCAAAAAGATCAGCCAACTTGTCCATGTCTTTGATTCCCTGGAAGGAGATAAGCGAGAAATCAAGTACACAGCAAAGGAAACTTGAAGACAATTGCAGAAAATGTTGCAGCTACATGACTCACTGTGTCCTTTGTAGTGCTCAAAAATTCTTGGCAAAATGAAATAAGGGACAGGCAACTTTTGTACACCAGGACAATGATGAACCAAGCTCTCACAACTCTTCTGTTACTGCTGTACTGTGGTTAAGATCACACTAAGCCGGCTAACTCAGCTGGACAACTGGCTATTGGACGCAGCAGAAATGGTAATCAATCATGATCAGTGTTCTTTCTGGACAAACAATACCGCCACTCATCTGAACATCACACATGTTTTCCATACATACAAGACAATAACTCTTGTGCAAGGCTTTGATTCTTACGGCACGCTGTGTTCAAATCATGAAGGTGAGGGACGAGGTCTTTATGACAGCTGGCAAAGAGACACTTGTTGCTGCTATCTACCTTGCAGTTCATACTGTAATCACTAGGTGGCAATTGTGACATGTTGTTTCACGTTTCAGCAAATGGTTGTCTACCGTGTGAAAAGTTAAACCATTTCCAAATTTATGATGTAGTACTTTTGTAGCAGCCATAATATGTTCTTAAATTGTTGTGATATAAGATTTTGATATTGTTTGTTTTTGTTAAGGTAGGAAGACTGGCTACCTACGTGCCTGACAGCCTGGAGCATTTTCAAGGACTGCAGCTCTGTTCACATAAATGCTTAATCTTTTCTTAGATTCAACTACATTATGTTCAATTCTTGCAAGAGCCCTTGCTTCCTTTCTGCTTCCATGACCACTGAAATCACTGACTGTAAACTGGGTACACAGCACAGCTCATAGCTAAAAAGGTCAAGGCAATGATGTTTGGAATGCCAGGTCTTTTCTTTTGTAATCCTGTTCTGGCATCCGTGAAAGTTCCAACCTTGAATCAAATTGATTATACATGCATGTTTGCACAACAAGCAGTTATGTAAACAATGCTGTGCCTATCTTGAAAGTTCATCTGTGTTGGTAGAAGTCATTATGAAGTAAGTTTAAACTGTAATTTCCAACACAACAAAAATTGGACGTCGCGGAAGCAGTGGATTGCTCATTCCTTGAAAAAGACTGGAGTTGTACAGTCAAAAATTTGGGTGAGTCCAATTTTTGTTGTGTTGGAAATTACAGTTTAAACTTACTTCATAATGCTGTGCCTAGAATATCTATTAGAGTGTTCATGAAAACAGACCAACTTGTTCTTTAAAGCTCATAACTCTTCAAGAGTATTAACATGTACAAAACCTTGTATAGACATCATGCATCGTCAGTATGGTAGGTATATCGGTATAATTGCCAATATTTTCAGGAAAGCCAAAAAAGGATAAGAAATAGTCATCCCTTTTGTTATGATTTTTCGTTCAAACAATCAGTGCAACAGCTGTACTTGAGTAATTCTTCCTTTATACTTTTGAAATACAGAAATTATTGATTCATATGTAGACCTCAAAATACCTTGTCATACTGATGGAAATTTTACTCCGGCATAACTATAGTAGCTTAGTGTATGTTAGCTATAACAGCAACGTTTGTCAGTAGTTCATGACAGCAGGAAGTACAAAACTTACAGTCTGCAGTGACTGAAGCTCCTCTTCAAGGTCCAGCAAATTGCCAACCTGTGCACCAGCCTGTATAGGGCAGGCAAGGAATCTGCGGTTAGCTTCTCTGGCAAATAAAAAAATAAATGGCTTCTGTTCTTCATCATGTTAGTAAGGCCGAAGCCATACAGCAGAAGTGCAACTCACAAGCCACACGTGTACAGGCTCTCCTCAACTTATTGTCAGCCACATTGCAATCAGAGAACCCCATTGTGTTGTAGGTGCATTCAGCGAATTAAACTTCAAACTCAAAGCAGATCTACCTTGGCTTCCCCTGCATTCTGTTCTGCTGCTGCAGGCTGGGCTTCCCCGTCTTGTTCTACTGGCTTGTTGGTGGGAACCTGGGGGTGAATATGGAGTGATGTTGCCTTGAAGTGTCTGTCTTTGGGGATTAAACCGAACCTTAGTTACATACAGTCAAACCTGCACTAGTGACCACCTCTGCATAAGGACCACAGCTAGGCTATTCACCCATTGTCCCAGCAGTAAGAATCCTGTCTATAGTGGCCACCTGTCTGCTGTGACCATTTTCTTCACGTCCTTCCAGTGCTCACTATAGACAGGTTTGACTGCACTATAAGGCAAGACTTTATTGGTATGAGTACTCACACGAGGCAAGCAAGCAGTAAGCTGCAGCGTGTTGCTATTAAGATGGTTGGATGAAAGCTGGTCCTGTGTACACAACAGTAGACAGCAAACAACACAATAAGGAGCACAAAACAAACAAAAACAAGAGAGATGTAAGGACGCATTTTTGAAAAGCAAGCATGGTAAACAGTAGCACAAGAAGAAGGCAAACAATACTAACAGAATTGAAATGAATGGAATGAAATTTTACAGCTGCAATGCAGTCAGATACCTAACTAACATCACAGATATTTTGCCACACAAGCAATTTGCCCCACTTTGAAGCTAACCATCACAAGCATGCAATGGGGCATGCAATTTTTCTAAATATGAGCTCAACACAGCTTTCACAACACTGACACAGAAAGCCATGCCACAACAGCTTACACACAATATAGGGAAAGCAAAGACTTCACTATGAAGGAAGAAACAAGTCCAAAAAAGTACCACACTACCAAGCCAGTCCTAGGCACAGCTATACCTGGTAGATAGGTTCTCCCGTAGAAGTGTCATACGAGCTTTCATTTGTGGGGCTTCCTTTTCGTCTCTTTTTTGGACTTTTTACCTTTGTAGATTGGACAGACTGTTCCAACCCATGCAAGCAGACAGGGAGGCGAATTGGGAGAGAAGACACAAAGGTGAAACAGGTAACAATCACACATTCAAGGACAGTATCCACATATTATACAAAGGTTTCAGGATGTGCCTAAAAAATAAAAACTTTCACGAAACATAATTCTGTAGTTCCAAAAAGTATCTTAGAATTGGAGGCTTTGAAAGGGAATAATACTTTTAGTAGAGCATTTTGTTTTCGACACTCGACATGATATACAATTGTTGGTCAATTTTATTTGTTATAATAACTTCTAAATTTTCTAATGGTTTTTCAAAGCATATATTCTTTATACCTTGAGAAACTCTTCTCACTTTTAGTTATGGCAACTAGTAGAAATGGTTAGCAAAGCAGTGGATATCACATGATTTTGTTAATACCTCATAGATGTGCTCCTCTATGGATGTGTCTTTGTAACCTTCATTACACAGCCCATCTAGCAGTATTGTTTCAGAGTCTAGCGACTTTTTTTTAAATCCGAAGATGAAAGCATAGCAGGAAAGGGTGGAATAAGGGGAGAAGTTAGTGAAAAGGAAGGACTAACTACAGTGTGCAGTGTGCATTAAACAGTGATAGAGACGTACTACAAATGAGACACATGTCAGGGCTCAAAATACCTCTTTTCTGTTATATATTTAGCTAGTTTTAGAATGTTTACCTGAAATTCAAAGGAACTTTCTGCACATACATACTCAAGCTGCTATTCCTGTCTTACTACAACCAAAGCTTCAGTAAGCTATTGATAATGCCAAGCTTGAAATATTTTAGTCTTCAAAATTGCAAGCATTCTATTTTCTTACATGCAGGTTGTAGGTAAGTATTTTGAACCCCATAGGCTGCACAAAAGTTAGTGCTTCTAGAGAAGCACACATGGCTACATCTATAAGAAGGATAAAGGAGAGGTATAGCATATGTAACACCAATACAAGGTACTACAATGTACATGTACTTACAGCTGCAGAGAATGACTGACAGTGAGAAGGTCATTTTTTACACAACTTTCAAAAAATTTATGAAGCATCACTTCCATGACAAGTAATCAATCCACATATCAAGACATAGCTACGAATCTGTCACAGATGCTGTGCATACATTTTGATTTGTTCTTTCAACTAAAAAGATGCATTCAAACATCCATTGTCATTGTCAGCTAAAATGCGTGAACTTTCAGCCATTCATACCTGGTAGTAGCTTTCGCCGTTGGTGGGATCTGTGGTGCCATCTTGCTGTGCTTGTTTCTTCTTGTCCATCTCTGCTTTCTTAACATTGTACACTGTCTGGAACAGGTCTCGGATAGACAACACTACCGCCTCAGCCTGGAAACACATTAAAATTTGTAGTGAGTAGTTTCATCAGTTTTGGAATCATAGGGTATAAAGATACAATCAGTCAAACGTGTATAAGCGACCACCTCTTCACAAGGACCACCTGGCCAATGTCATCACTTTAAAAATCATAATCCCCTGAGTGGCCTTCTTGGGTAGGTTTGACTGTGTTATGCTTGTTGTGCTTGTTGTCGATGTTTCAAGATTGTAATTATCTTTACCAAAGGAAAAGATATTGTTTTTGCTCTGTTTCTTCTTCCTCTTCTTCTCCAAACAAATAAGGGCAATGACCTGAACCAGACGTCTGTCACCATGGTAACTGGTAGTTGGGTAAGATCATGTTGCACTGTTATAGTAGAAGGGTTTTAGACTCCTGTCACCACATATAATAACTGTGTTTGAGTAAGAATTAACAGAGCAGACCATATGCGAAGGTAAACATTATGCTTTCTAGTTTGCACTGGAGTTCTTATTTGTTGTGCTTCCATGTACATAAGAGAAAATCAAACAAACCACTCATCCTACCTGCTTTTCTGTCTTGATGGCGAAGAACTTGTGCTGCCCCTCCCCTGGACTGAAGACCCAGCCAAAGGCTCTGTTGTCCGTCACATCCCGTGCTATGAACGAGATCTTGTGCACTGGGTGCCGGTGGTTGATTGCCTGGATAGATGCAAGAATATAGGATTATAAACTCTCTTCTGATGTTTTTGTCAGTATATGTGCAATTCTCATGTCAGCAAGTATTGGTCTATGTGTTTTATCTTTACATTTTATGTCCACTGTACCTTTTGTATTTGTTACCCCAACTTTGTGAGCAAAGGATCCTTATAAGCACATTATGTGCTTTCTGTCCAATGCTCTCAAATCTATGTGAATAAAATTAATAAGAAAAACTTTGGATTTGAAAAAAAAAATCAGCATTTCACTTTTCTTGTCCTTGGAATAGCTTAAATATAGTTGACCAAATGAATTAGTCTACTTCACATTTCTGACAAATCCACAAAATACACTCCATACCGTACATGGATACTTCAGTATCACATAATCACAATATCCTGCTGCTAGCCAAGACTGCATCCACTCTGCTTCAATATGTATACTTAAACATACTAACTGAAACAAACTCACTGGGCCACTTCTTTCATTTCAATATTTCAGACTTCATACTGTGTAATAAATGATAGAGATACACTTAAAATGTTTCAAAAAATACTACAAGACTCACCCCTGAGGCGAGATCTATGATCTTGAGCCCCTGAAGAGACACACTGATGGTGATGCGCTGCTTGTGAGCTCCCGATGCCTTTACTGCAAGCTTCAGAACAGACAGAAAAAGTCATTAGAAAACACTTTTTTATCCCAATTGACTACATTGTACACATTCCCATTTGAATCTTGAATGGACAGTTTCTTGCACTTTAAGCGGAATATATATTTTCACCTTGAACTGCATAATAACGTAAGTGAATTTTGTCGGTCCTTAGATACAGAAATAGTCCTCATTACAAAACCGACATGTTATGGTCTTGATTATAAAACTGGCATCTTATGCTTGAATGTGGATGTCACAATCACCAATATTCCATATCTGGAAACTAGTATTTATCAATGGTTTTGCACCTCCAGAACCTAAGATGTTCAGAATGACTTAAGTTTAAGTCTTTGCTCATACATGTAACCACTGACAACAAGATTAACAACTATTTACGTACCTTGAGCTTGTTCATGGAATCCTGACACATCTTGTCTCCCCTGGCCGCTTCTACATCATCAATCCCAATCACCTTTCCTTTGAAGACCATTCCGTCTCCTTCATACTGTTTCACCTTCTCTTCATCCGTTAAGGGCTCCTTCTTGCCCTTCTTTACTGTGCTCGTCATCTTGCTAGCCTAGCTGTCTTGGTGTCTACTCTATCTACTGTGGCTGCTATTGTGGCATCCCACTGCTTAAAACCTGTAAATAAGAGTAAAAAAATACTTTAACAAGAAGACCATGGCATGTCCAGAACAGAAACAAACGGAACTACCAAGCAACGCTGCTAGGAGGCTCTGCACATACCAAAAACCATCACAATCCATATAGCAGGCAACTAGGTCACCCCTTGCATATATACTGAGTGAACCTCTGCACCATGAATGTAACAACCATAACATTTACATGCTATGGCTAATATTTGATACTCATGACGAATTTGTGCCTAACCACAAGCTTAGCATAATATAACTTATTAAGTGAAACTAAAATCTTCATGTATATCATTATAAGCAGCAACATGACTCAAACCCTTCACAGCATCATACTGAAACAGTAGCAACCACGACCTGACTCTCAAGGTTATGCCTTTTATGGGTAGATTGAACTCCTGAAACTGTAACTAAAACCATGTGTAGTGCAGTAATCTACATCAAATGTTTTACCGAGAAATCCACTCCCACTTGTAGATACATCCTCCAATACTACGAACAGAGGAAAGAGGATCAAAAGGATGCTCTTACATTCACAATGTGACTGCCAAATCCATTACAGTCCAAGTATATCTACCCTTGATCTTCGATGACCCCTTTCTATTGAAGAGTACTGATAAAAACGAGATAAAACTGATAATACTCCTTATTTCCAAACCAGCACTCGCCACGAGTGTATCTAGTAATATCATTAGTCGCCAGCCAAAATTTACTATTATTACGATGGATAGCTGGATGGATCATGGCCAAATCATGGTATTGGAGACTTGCTGTTAACGATCTAACCACTACTAGGAGTGGCTTTCCAAGACGGCAAACTGCCAACTGCAAGATTTTTAACATTTGCTTGACTTTTCGAGGGAAGTGAGAGAACACAGGAGGAATTCTAGAGTGTCAGGGGTTGGATGACTTGTGATAAACAAGTCTCTGCTGTAACAACCTCTTGAATACCAGAAAGCTGTACAACATTAGTGCTTCCCTGAGCTGTTAACCAGATTTCCAGCAAGGTCTGAAAGGGAAACTGTTGATTGGTATTTGATACCAAGACCAACAAATTTTAGACTTAAATTATAAAACATATACATGTACAAATATATTGTAAAACTACATTGTGTACCATATGGCAAAAAAACAAAGCATGACTCAGCATATATTGATTACAAGATTCTAGCTCAGGTGTAAAATCAAAGGTACAAATACTGATAAGCAATTCCAAAGCTAATAGTAATATTATTAGCATTCCTAACAGTACTATTAACAGTAAAGCATGGCAACCATGCATACATAAATTGCTCACAAAGTCTGATATGCTATGAACACATACATAATCCTGCCTTCCCTTTTGAAGCTTAAAATAACACCTGTTCAGTGCTATACATAATACATTTCTAAGCTATGACTGGGTATGAGAGAGGTGATTGAAATTCACTACAAAGCTGCATGAAATTCCTGTGGTTATAAACACTACATGTACATGCAACACGTACATGTATATGCAATGAGCATTTTCTTTACAGTCATGATAATGTTTATAACATGAATGTAAAGAAAAATGTATCCCACATTATACATGATGTTTGAAATATTGTATGACAATTTCTAAGCTATAAGGTACCTACATGTAAATTGTATACGGGCCAACAGAACTCAGGCTACGAAGGAAATATAGCTTTGTTCATGCAGTGTACATTATCACTCAGAAAATATAGACTTATTCATACAATCTGTCAACATTATTGAATGTAAATGCCTATTGACATCTTACCATCTGTTTATCATGGTTTATGATAAGGCCACTTGCCAAAATAATAAGTAGAAAATGATGTTTACTTGCAAATAAATAAACTGTTTTGAAATTGTAAAGCTCTGATTGAATAGTACTACATGTACACGTAAAATTTACGTGTAAAAATTGATATCATGTGGTAAAATTTTGATCCTTCAAAATACAGGTGTACCATAACAATGGTAGCAATATTATAGTAAAAATATTTCTTGTCTAAGGAAATTAATATCATTTTCAAGTTATCCTGGAAGGAAATATCCTGGGAGCAGATAATACAACATTAGTGCTTTTCCCCCAGCTTTTCCAAGAAAGGTAATGACCTTAGCAGTACCCATTTATCATGTCAGTTAATGAGACAACATGCAAGCAATTACTATAATTGTATGAGTGCTGCATCTGTGCTCCTTAATTACAGCCTGGGCTGTCTATGGCCGCCTTTATCTGTGTGATCACTGATAAGCAAGGATGCTCTTTATTACCACTTTGAAATGCTCATTTTGCATCAGACAAAATTTACATGTACATTTCAAAGAGGAATCTGTAAGTAGTACAATGAATAAACAAATCAGTAACTGTTCTTGTTTGTTAAATCGGAACTTCCTGTTAACAGTCGTATCACATACATAATCGCATACATAAACATCCAGTATGGACCAGTACAAGTTTACATTAGGATGCACAGTATCAGTTTTACCTGCAATTAACTACAGGTGGCATTTCCACACCTATCAAATGCATGGTACCAATTAATAATTACCCTGTTTTGGTTGGTTTATTTAAACTACAAGATATGTAAACGTAGCTCCTCTATACTGACTGTATTGTTACTACCGTCAGTAATATGTGGTCTTTGAGTCTCTTGTAGCAAATTAAAAAGCAGGTGATACCAAGGTTAAACATGTGATGTCATGTGACACACTGAGAGAGCTGTCCCCTTCAATCATGTCAGGACTATTCCATTAGCAAATCCCAGGAGGGGGGTAACAGGCAGACCTTTACAACCATCTGCTTCTACTTTCATTCCAATTACCATCCCCCCTCAAGTCAAATTGTTCTTGACATACCATCTTTTTCCTCAACTAGTACTGCTGCTCCTTTACTTTTTTCAGCTGAAAGACGCCCTGAAGTAAAATAAATACATGTACCAAATATTTGTCATCTAACCTACAGTCCACGCAATGGGAAAACTATTAACTCGAACACAATACAAAGAGCAAGAAGTCCTTTATTCTGTCTGGACACTGAGGCAAAAGGGGGAGTGGCAGACCCATGGGGTAGCTGGCAGGAGTGCAGGGTCAAAGATTTACACTGAGATGTGGCTAAATGATCAACCAGACAATCCTTTAAGAAAGATGATGAAAGAAAGCTACATAGATTGATAGAAGCCAACTACCCAAATTTCTATACTTTTGTAAGGATTTGAGCAATTAAGATAATGTCCTATGATATCTTGTCAACTGAGACCTTGTCATGTCAACTGTACGTTTACTACTGGTGCATGTGAAGACTATTTCTGGTCAAAGTACAGCACATGTCAAACCACACCCAAGCGTCAATATGTGTACCAAACACAGTGATATGTTTTCATTACTTCTTGCAACTGAATGTAGTCTTGCATTTACAGTAGAAGACAGCCAGTGTTGAAATAAATAGAGTCAGAATCAATAATAACAAGTCCTTCTGTAGTCTGCTGTTAATATACAAATATGGTGAAAGCAAGAGTATGTACAAGAAGTAAGGGCAAGGATGCTACAGTCTGCTTTAATGGCCCGTTGCCATACTTTTTAGCATTCACTTATTAGTTATCAGTTATCATAATAAAAAACATAATAAGAAACTTGCTACCTTGGTAACTATTATTATTAACCTGTTGTCCTGGTTTTCAATGACTAATGCACATCCTTTCAGCAGATGAACTTATGTAGCACATTAATGATTTTGCCTTTTAAATTACTAACTTAATCATATGGCCACATGCATGCATGCCTTTAAATTAACCATATGGACTGGAATTGGTATTGACAATGACCTTGATCCTTGAACTTCGAAAGGAGAATTTCTGAGAATGTGCTACAGGGCTAGTACAGGCAATTCCATGTGAGGAATAAACTGCAATTTCATCTCTGTCAGGTTCAAAATGTAATGTTTCCATTGAAGTCAGAATGCAGCCAGGTACTATCTGTAAAACAATGTCCTTGGTAGTCCTTTATTGCCATAGATGACTGTCTGTTTCGCACTATCATTAATGCACCGTTTCCACAGTCATGCCAAGAAATACAGATATGGTACCTAATATGATGTCTCATCCCATAACACTATAATACATCAATATAATATGAGTGTCTAGTCTAGCCTCCACGGGTCAAGGCCTCTTGGTTATCAAATGACTGCGCCCTGTAGATTCTCATAAAACATATGGTACCCAGTACATCAAAATCAATAACACTTACCCTTGGCTTTATGAGGCTCTGTCAGAGCAACATATTTGCAAAGTAATAATTTATTAATTTACAAATTTGTAGGCTTTGTTAATAACTTAATATTGAGGCCTTAAATTAGTTTTAAAATGTGTACGTAGAATAGATTGAATGCCTGATCATGATCACAAATTTGTCTGTATTTACATTGTACACATCTATTTGCAAAGTAATATTTTATACATTCACAAATTCACAAGCTTAGCCAATAATATTACTTAAGGCTTAAAAAATGTGTATGCAGAATTAGTTGAATGCCTGATCATAATTACCAACTTACATCTGTATTTAGCTCACGGTAAGTCTGGGCCTCACACTGTATTTGCAAAGTAATAATTTATTCATTTACAAATTCATAAGCTTAGCCAATAATATTAAGGCTTAAAAAATGTGTATGCAGAATTAGTTGAATGCCTGATCATAATCACCAACTTGTCTGTATTTAGCTCACGGTAAGTCTGGGCCTCACACTGTATTTGCAAAGTAATAATTTATTCATTTACAAATTTACAAGCTTTGCCAATAAAATTAAGGCTTTGAAAAATTGTATATGGAATCAGTTGAAAGCCTGATCATGACCATGAGCTTGTCTGTATTTAGCTCACGGTAGGTCTGGGCCTCACAGTGTGGAAAAGCAGTCCAGACCAGTCAATAATCCACCTTCCAGACAAGTTGTGGTTGAGGTCGGAGTAAGGTCAGGTTTAGTATGGCTTGTCTGGCTGCTCCTACTAGCAATTCCATCAGCAATTCGATATCAGAGAAAGTAGTTATATTTAGACTTGTGGTGGGGTCCTGACAGCTTCCCTGGTTTCTTGGAACTCTAGTTAAGGCTACATAATGATACATTCATTTGTGGCACATGTGTATGTGCTCATTTATCTTAGCTTGTTTCCTGAAATAAATGGATAATCTTTCTTTTAAAAAGACATTGATACAGATAGACTGACTGACAGAGAGAGAGAGAGAGAGAGAGATAGTAAAGGTAAAAGAATCAAGATAGAAGCAAGCTGAAGATTTAGACTACTCAGCAAAAATATGGTGATGGGAGTATTGTTGAAAATACAATGTAGGTACAAACTACTGTGCATACTGGTAATCAGTCTTATCAAATTTACTGGCCTGGAAAATGCCATTCATAATACCCTACCAGTACACCATTAACTGAAGCCCTATGATTTGTTGCCTGCTTCCAAACACAACATTCTCTACCTGTCCACACTAAGATATATAAGACAGGAGGATGTAAGGATTTGGAGTATGTTGTCTTGAAGAAGGAAAGGCCCCCATACTCCTGCCAGAAGTATCTTCCCCTGGAATTTCTTGGTAGGCCTTTACTGTTTGGTACCTGTCAACGTCCCAGTGTGAAACTTCTACAGCTTTCAAAACACTGTCTGTTTTGATGGAATACCAGAGAAAGCCTTTCCCCAGCCTGTGGTACTGTAAGTGAAATCATGATGACTAAGTTACTAACTTCTATATATACTAATACTTAAAGACAAGAAGTGAATTACTTTATGCAAACAATGATCTTTGAAGTGAATTACTTTACGCAAGCAATGATCTTTGACCTAATTTCAGTCACAATACATAATCACCTGGACTTTGGAATTTGTTAATGACCTTTGGGATCTTTTCAGAAGTACCTAGCATATGATTATGATCTATTTGTTGCTGTTCCTTCCAATGCTATACCATAGCATATATGTGTTGTCCTGAAGTTAAATTACCGGTACATAGAAAATATAGCCATGTACCTGCAATTCAGGGACGCAAGGAAAGGTCTGAGAAAGATAGGGAACAGAGAAAATAAGGTGCCATTCAGAGGATATTGACGTTTAATACCAGACAGATACAATCTAGCTTAAGGTCCATGTGGCACAAGTATATTACAAAACTAACAATTGAATGATGACCTTTCCCGCCCCCTTATTCAACCTCTGTTGAAAGAAGAAGAAACCTTACACCATGGACATGAATAGACTACAAAAATCCAACACCCTACAAGCATTCTTCCTTCTCCTGATATCACACTGTGGTTCCAGTGTTAATGTACTGTTTCCATTACTGACTTTGAAAGGGTGCCAAATTTAACCCTGATTAGCCTTTGTGATTCATGTGGGTTTAAGTGTGTTGTCTTTTCAGGAATGTGAAATATGGGGTAGAAAATGTACATGCTAGAACCTACGCAACAAAAACCGTCCAAGTAACACCACAATTATTCAGTAACTTTCATTTTCCTTATTATGTAACACTTAGCAGTTAGGAATCCTGGTACGGTTTACTAAGAAAAAGAATGCTAGTTTAGTGCATAATTTGAGGGGGCGGCGTTGTCTGACTCTGTATACGCCTAGAAGGATGATCGCCCTTAATTATTTCCAGATGAAATAATGTCGTGTGAAGAAGCTTTCGTCACAGCTTTGCTACGCTAAGAAAATAAATCTCTTAGCATAAAAAGCGAACTTTGACACTGTCCACAATACGCCCCCCAGGATGACAAACACACAGGTGGTCATTTATTGATGGACCCGGTCGAGGAATAAAAAAATTCGTCTGCAGGAACAGACTGACTGTTGCAGTTCGCCAAGGTGACTAGGACCAAAACAGAACACTTCATCACGAAAATTCCTGTCAGAATCAACATGACAACTTTCTACACGCCTACACAAATGGCTCTTACACCATATGGGACTGAATAACCCACGACAATTTAAAGATTGGTGCCAAATGAACCCGTCTCTTGCCCTTGGATGGGACCCTGAGCTTTGCAACGTCGACACGTTTGGGACGTGTGAGGGGAACATGAGTCGGTATGTGGTCCCGCGGGGCCGCCGGCGCGTGATACGGCCCGCCACGGCCTACCTACCTTCTCTGCCGCCTTCTTCTCCTTACGAACTCCGATCAAACGGCCGTTTCTTCCCGCTTACTGTGAAAATTCCGCCAGAAGTGGGCAAATCTAACGAAATATCGCCCGAATCAGACGACTTTCTCGCACCCACTCGCACTTTGATCGCGGGTTGAAGTACCCGGATATGCTCCTCACTGCGCAGGCGTCGTGAACTTTCTGCCCTTTCCCGCCAAAAATGAAAAAATTCCCGCGAAAATCATCAAGAATGACGAATATCCAGAATAATTTATAACCAAAGCAGCAGCTGTTCGTGTTATTGGTAATAACAAGAATCAAATGCCGCCATATCATCAACCGCATTATTTGACTATATTATGAGAAATCTAATTTGTTCCTGAACCGGATATACATGCGTAGAGGAGAGCTGACTGTCACATGACTGCGGGCGACAACATGGCGATCAGTCCGGATTCCGGTAAGTTTGGGTAAAAATCACCGTAAATTTGCAGTATTCGTCGGTTCTTGCAAATCATAGATGGATTTCCTATCCCACCTGTGCACGCAAAGTGTTCTTGTAAGCACAGATATCGCCGATTCTGTCTGGCTTATTTTGTAAGGCGATCAACTACTGTTGTGAGGTAGGAGGGCATATCTATTTTTATTAGTGCATAAATAATTTGATCATTAATGAAAATCTAGATCAACTGTGACGTTACGTCAAGCACCGAAAATATTGATATTGGTCAGATATTAAAAGCCTTTTACCTTCAATTTAGATTAATTCCATTTGATCATGATATATGTTTGTTGATCGGACTACTAGTAACAGGTGCATTTCACACATCTCCTTTGTCTTGTCAGCGTGGATCTGAAAGATTCTTTCAAGAAAGCACTGTAGATTGAATTCTTGATTATTGGTTTTTAGAAAATGATATATGAGTTTTAGTTTTCAATTTTTGATGTACCAAATAACCAATTAAACCGCACAAGAGCTTTGTACTTCATTTCTCTCAGGTTCATCAAAAGTTCCATGTTTTATCCTAAGGATATTTTGTTGTTTGTCCAGCCTGCTACAGGTTCCTGGTGCTGTTCTTCAACTGCATGTTGACGTTCGGCTCCTACTTCTGTTTTGACATGCCCAGTGTTCTACAGGATGTATTCCAAGGGGTGCGTAATGGATAATGATCATTTGTGTATATATCAAAGTACTGTACAGTATTTCTGCAATTCTGTTTAATCTTTTGTGATTTCTGTGCTTACGTAGACCATGTCCATCGAATGAATCGAATGTGTATTTGACAAAGTTCAGGTATGACTACCTCAGATTACTGGTACCTCCTTATGGAATACGTGTACATGTATATCATACAGATTCTCTCTCCCTCTCTTCTTCCCTCTTAGTTATGACAGTTACTGTAGATATATTGTTAGTGTTAAAATCCATGCTGCTGTTGCACTTTTGCCTTTAAGTGTAAGTCAGACGTATAAAGTTTGTACATTATTTCCTGATCCTTTCAGCCAATAGAATGTGTCAGAAATGCCACGGCCAACCATACTGATGGCAGCTGGTACAACCTGACCAAGAGTTGTGAGGAGGGACTGGGCATGTCGTCGGAGGAGTATAACTTACTGTACGCCATCTATGCTTGGACGTGAGTATGGTGATACCGATGTCCCTTTCCTCAATCAAAATCATTGAATTTATTGTTGACTAGCCTGTGTTACAAAATCTTCCATCAGGGGTTGATTAGGCTTCATTAGGCTAGGTTAGTCATTGATTTATGGGATAAAAGTGGGATAGAAAATCATTTAAAGTACTCATTTTTGTTTCAAACTTCTGTATGTCTTTGTTCTGTAGGAATGCATTGGTGGTCATAGCAGCGGGATTCCTCATCGATAAGCTGGGCAACAGGAGTAAGTTATCATAAACATTCATCTGTGTTGTTAGTTAGATGTATAAAAGTTACAACTTTTGTTCCAACACAAAGGTAAATGTTCTCACCTACAGGTTTTAACCAGTCACTCTGGTCTTCTTCAATGAACAGACCATTGAGACTTGTCATGTGGCTTCTCTAAAGTGTGCCGTCAACACTGGGTCAAAGGTATCTGGTAAAGGATGTCGGCCCCCGTTGTAGTTGATAGGTATGCAGGAAAAAGTATTTAGAGCCCTGTGATTATATATTTGTTTTATTGTCATGTATTTTTCTACCCATCACAGTTGGTGTGTTCCTGTTCTCTGGGCTGTGTGTGGTGGGCTCGTCCATATTTGCCATTGGCACCATGTTCAAGGGCACCAAGTACATGCTTCCCCTCATGCTTGTAGGGCGGCTGCTCTTTGGCTCAGGAAATGGCTCTCTCACAAGTAAGTCAACTTCTCCTGTAGTCTTACACACAGATTACTCGTAATTGAGGGTCCTGAGTTTTTTAAAACTCGATCAAACTCTGAGCTCTTGGACATAATCATTCAGATCATTCAAGATTTGTCTTTGACAGAACGTTTGATTTTGTATTCCAGTTGTACAGAACAGAATCACAGCCTTCTGGTTCAAGGGAAAAGAGCTGGCATTGGCATTCGGTCTGACGCTGACTGTGTCTCGTCTGGTAAGACATAGATTATCATTCTGTTTTTCCTTGTACAATTTTGCAACTTGAATGCTCCTTTCTTGTCATTTCCGTCATGCCTTTGAGTGGCCAGTATAGACAGGTTTTACTGTACATGTCTTTATAGTCTCTTCTGTCAAATGATTTTATGGATAAACTGTTGAATTATGGCAGAATAGTACTTATGCCATTTTCCCATCACAGGGTAGTGTGCTGAATTTCTTTGTGACAGAAAGTTTTGAGGAAAAGTTTGGACTGGATTGGACCTTATGGGGAGGTAAGTAGTACAATGTAGTACTTATATTTAGTAATTTATGTGTCATCTTGGCTTAGAATTTCATTCCTTCACAGTAAGGCTCTACCACAGTCACCTATTTCTTTGATGGATGTCAGTACAGGTGTTCTTTTCATTTAAAGTAAATTTCATAGAAAAAAATTGAGGCCCATGACAGCAGCATAGGAAGAAGACATTGGCACTTAAGTGTTATCTTCTGGATCTATGATTGTAATCATGTTACTGACTGTTTTATTTCAGGTGCAGTCCTGTGTGGCCTGGGTTTTGTTTCAGCTGCTATTGTCAGTGCTCTGGATGTTGTAGGGGTACGGAACCTTGGACAGGTGAGAGTCATTATATGTAACAAGAATTCAGAAACAGTCTATCAGGATCCTGAGTTATTTAACCTAGACAGCAATTGACAGACTGACACTATTCCTAAGGAGAGAGGGACTTAGGCTTTTCTATTCCAATATTTTTTTCACACACATCTTTGAATTCCCACCTTCTAAATTTTTACCAGCTGTCATCACTAGAGAGACTCTTTTGTATGTTAAGGAGATCTTGTATCTTTGTTGTGAGGGAAATAATCTTGTTGCTGTTTTGGTACTTTCAGACGGAAAATATGGCTGTTCAGTCCAAGAAAATGGTAAGTCTTCTTGCTTTTAAAACACTAACTAAAAAACTCTGTAACACATATTATATCATTAACAAATGTGGCCTATAGCATGAGAGAGATAGATATCACTCATTCGATTTTTTAGTAACTGACTCCTTTCTTCCTTTATTTCCAGAGGTTCACAGATATCAAGTACTTTACAGGATCCTTCTGGCTGCTGGTACTGACAATTATGTTCTTCTATAATGGAGTCTTTCCCTTCGTAGCTGACGCCAGGTAGGTTTTCCAATTCATGGATCCTGCATATGCCAAACTTGCACCACATGGTACTGAACCCACATAAGTTTTTATGGAAAGGGGCATAAAATGAGTTTTGCAGGAAAAACTTGTCTGGTGCAGGTTACTTTCAATGACTTTCAAACATGTATATGAACATAAATGTGTGAAATGTTAATTATTCTGAACATAAATCTCTGAAACTATGCAGGCAAAGACATTGACCTTCCCCTTTCTTTTCTCTTTTTTTGTGTGCAATTCCTAAGAAACAGATTGTAACACACCTTAATGTCCCTCCTGACATATTTCTAGTAAAAGAAACACTGAGTAATAGAAGACTTGATTTTTTTTGCAGCAACTTCATCCAGGACAAATATCACTACCCCCCTGACACCTCCTCGTATTTTGCTGGTGCCATATACTTTGTGTCCATGGTGGCTTCAGCACTCATTGGGATAGCTATTGTAAGAATGTTTTTTTATTACATGTACTAAGTGTAGCACCTGTAGGTGTTGATTTGCTGATTTAAAGACAGTTGTGAAATTAGAAAAGTGACATCTGCAAAGCAAATGCATAATGTTTACCTTCACATACAGTCTGCTCTGTTAATTCTTACTCAAAGACATTCACATACCGGGGTATTTGATGACAGGAGTCTAAATCCCTCCTACTATAAAATTGCAACATGATGTAACGCAACAGCAGTTACCATGGTGAGAGACAGTCTGGTTCAGTCAGGTCAGAGGTCACTGTTTGGAGAAGTAGAAGAAGAAGAAGAAGAAGAGGAAACAATATGTTTTCCTTCGGTAAATATGGTGATGGACCAGGAAAAAAGTGACTTGAAATGAACAAATTGCATTTTGCCATTTCAGTATGAGTTAAAAGGGCCAAACATTTTATAGGTAGTGCTACGTGTACCTTGCCTAGATTATAACTAGGATCTTGCTATTGTTAAGACTTTCGTCCAATTTTTCTCGTCAGGATTTTGTAGGTTACCGAGGTATCCTGGCAGTGACCTGTGCTGTACTGACCATCCCGGTGTTTGGACTCCTGGCCTTCACCTATGTCCATCCTCTGGTCTGTACCATCTGGCTGGGAGTCATGTACTCTATTGCTGCTGTAAGTATGCAAATATGATACAGTCAAACCTGTACAAGTGAAGACCTCTCAGGGTTCGAAATACATGTACCTACTTTTGCACTCTCATCACACTAGTCAACTTGCTTAAGATGATCAGTGGGCAGCCTGAGGACAAAAAAAAAAGAATTTTACACCCAGCCTCTACATTAGAATGCCCAATTTGACCACTTTTTCGTGTTCCTTTCCTTGGCTTGACACATGTAGTGTTAAGAATCCTGTCCATAGTGACCAATCATTCAATCAATCATAATGTCCACACAGACCAGATTTTATTGGGTTAAGAATAAATCAACAGCAAGGATTTGACGTTTCTTTCCTGTATGGATAAGTTTCCTTCTAAAATCTCCACACTTATTCTACATGTGCCATACAGACAGCGCCATTTTGAGCAGATTCTTACCAACTGTCTTGTGTTGTCTTCTCCCAGGCGAGTTTGTGGCCGTCCATCCCCCTGGTGGTGTCTCAGGCCACCCTCGGGACAGCCATGGGACTGACCACGTCTGTACAGATGATCGGCATCGGGATCTGTAACCTGGTCATCGGAGCTCTGCTGGACAAGCACGGAGAGTGAGTAACTGTAGTGATGGAAACCAACATGGAGCACATGTACTGCACCTAATTATCATAAGCAAGACCCAGATTTTTCACAGCTTTCGTTGGATATTTGGTGTATATGACAGGTTTGGGTGGTAATTTTTTGAAAGGTTTAGTTAAATTTTTTCACATGTAATTTACCAACTATGAACTTTCATGCTAGTATGTTAAAATCTAATCCAGTAGTACGAAATGAATCTCAGACTTTAACACATAAATACCTTATCTGATAGCACTAGTAGTATTTTGTACTCTGTGTAATATATCCTGTATTTGAATGTGTACTGACAGTCTGTACTGACAATGACATATGTACCTGTCTCTGTGGCAGTGAGCCCATCCCCCTGTACCGGTGGAAGTACATGATCATCTTCCTGTTTGCCAACACTCTGGCCTGTGTGGCTACCTCTGTCTTACTCAACATCGTGGACAGGAGATCGGTAAGAAACCACCCAACATGCACAGATAGACTGTACAGTGTAAATTTTACGCTGTAGTATGGTGCAGTATTTTCTTCAGAGGATTACAATAGAAGCATTTTCACTGCGAAAAAACTGTTTAAGTACACTTTATAAAGCATGCATAGAGGTCTGTTTCTTCCCTCGCGTTTGCTAGAAGATAGGATTTTGTGTAGTGTTTATTCTTTGAGTTCTCAAGAGGCAGGCTGTGGAGGTTTACCGCATGTAAGTCCGTGCTACAAGTGTCAACTATCTTGATATTTGTCCTTTCGTTCTTACTCTTACTCTCATAATCCTAAATTGAAGCGAGTCCATCCTTCTGAAGTGACATGAATCAAAGTTGAAAAATTCTGACTGTCTTTTAAGCAAATATCCTAAAATTTAAAGACTCAAATCTCTAACTGGATTCTACCAGATCAGAGTCTCTGCCCTGAAGACCAGTCTACTGCCTGTATAATATTTGCCTGCCCCTGTGATGTACATGTAGGGTGGTGTGCTGAACTTCTCCAAGATGAGGTCTGCGAGGGAACTGCCCCTGAAGGACCCAGACGATCTACAGGACACACACGACGAAGAGGAGGGGGAATACGGGGAGACAGACAGGCTGCTGGCTCCAGGAGCGCGCTCTGTCAACTGAGAGCGGAACTGCAGCCAAGCTGTACTAATCGCATTTGTAACCGCACAAACCTTGAGAACCATAATATTATGATTAGATGCAATGCAATGTAGGTAGTTTGCTTCTCAAGTAACAAGTAAAGCAGGTGAATTATGAAGGACAATTCATTTAGTTAGTATTGCAATGCAACTTTGCTTTGGCTTAGATTTTCAGTCACGCACACTGTGTACCCCCTAGTCTCGGTTTACTTTTTAGTGAATTGGATTTTTTTACATACAGAGGTTTGATGTTGGACAACCAGTACTGCCAGTTTCAAGTCACCAACTGAAATGAAGAATACAACCCTTCACACCACACTTCAGCAAGAATGACTAGATTTTGTATTCTCACTTTGTCAGGTATCCTGTATTGGACATGTACATGGCACCAATCAGTTGGTAGACAAACGGTTTATGCCACTAGTTTATAGTTTATAGAGTACATAGTTTATACCAAAGCTCTGAGAATATTATACAATGCTATGTGAACTTAAAGACTTTTAAGGTGTCACATTTGTGTATTGCTCACATCTGCGAAATTGTTGAAATTGTCAAGTGATGCAGAAAATTTAACCTAAAAGATGAATGTAAAAGATATGGCATAAGACTTCAGTACTTAAGTCCATGTTTAGAACTCAAGAAAATCATGAGCTTTGAAGTATGATTCAGAGTATATGTCTGGGACTAATCAGATTTGTAGCTATACTCTGTAAACTAATGTCCATGTACATGTATATCAAATTGCACTCTTTTAGAAATTGGAGCTGAGATTTAGAATACACAGATAATACAGTCGGCACAAGTGTAAGAGTGAATACTTTCCATGCCATGGATAGATCCTTATCAATGGTTAGTTCTCTCACAGCCTAATGCTAGAACAAAAAAATGCTATTGTGACGGTATCTTCCTGTGTACATGTAACACTGCCATATGTTGATGTGTGTGTAACATATATCTATGTGATTACTCATGTAAGTACAACTGGTATGTCTATGTAAGTGTTGAACTTGAATTGATCATGTGCAATAGCATTGTTATCATTCTCAGCTTACCTGTTCCCACAAAAACATGGATTCTGTTTGAAATACACACATGTATTTATGCCTCAATCTTGGGCACATATTAGAGCTAGAGGGTACCGGTAGTTGCTTCAGTTGAATAGGGCTGACTTCCATGAGAGGAGGTAATACATGTACAAATGTATAACATAAAGTATTATAATTCCTGATTGTTTCGTGGTACAAAATGTACTTTTATACTTGCAGCTTTCGCGATCAGTTCTATACAGCAAACTTATCGTTACCATTAACAAAGAATTCGCCGACTTTTTTTTTTTGCACCTGCCACCACTGTGAACATACATGTATAGTAAAATAATACATGTAGTTCTGTGAACACCTCCATTTTTCTCAGATCGCAAACTTTTGCCAATGCAAGTATAGAATGAATTTCAGTTCACTATGAATATCAAGTTCATTGGTAATCCCGGATCCATGGGGTCATTAGCAACACGAGTAAAGCGACTGACAGCACAGTGTAAGTGCCATGAACGGTTCCAGCCTGTGAAGTGTGTAACACACACGGACACTGCTCAAATGGGTTGTAGTCGTCAAACTGGCTGTCGAACCAGTCTGTGATAGCCTTCAGGCCCACATCCAGCAGGCAGTTTTGGTTAATGTTCCTGTGCCAACAGTCTTTGGTTGTGCGGAATTGCCTGAAAAAGAATAGTCTGTCAAAAACATGCAATATTTACTTTCATCAGAAGGTTACGTTTTCGGTTTGACTATCTCTATATAATGTCCTTGGGGTAGAGTGACTGGATGTTGGCAGCATAACTTTTGAAGGTTTGGTTGGATGTTCATGATTTTTGGTAGGTGTGTTACTGTTGGGGAGATGAAGGTCAAGTTCAAAAATGGGCTTTATGGCGGTTTCCCATGACCATGTTAAAATCAAAATATACCTGCATATACGAGGGTCGGCCGGATTGTCACTCCACATGTCCAGAAGTGGCTTCAAACAGGCGGTGTTCCTGTCTGTGAACTTGAAGTTGCACATGGGTCCGTAGTTCTCCCACGGCAGGGCAAAGTCAAGGCCGTACATCTGACAGAACCACGTGGTGTTCGATATCATCGGATCTGCAAGACACACGTACAAAATGCCCGTTTTTCTACTATGAACACAAGCGATTGCTACTGTAAATGATAACAAAGTATAAGGGATCACGAACAACTAGCTGACCATGGAAGATATAACCATGGAGCAATTGTCTGTTATGTGATTGTGATAGATATAGCCCCTATTGGGGTGGCCGTTTCCCAGTACCCCGGCACTGAAAAGAGCCGGGGATCTGGGAAGCGGCATTCGAAAGTCTCAGCACTCGGCTTCCAGTACTGACAGGGTTTTTCTAGAGCTAAAGCTGCCTCAGCACTGGAATCCCTGCGCTGAGAACGTCTCAGTGCTGAGCACCACTTCTGAACTGGCGTTCCAGTGCTGAGAAAGGAAGGCGTTACTTTTGTATATTTGCGTCTGCGATTTACCCGAATTGCGGTTCAGGCGTTTCTGAGTACCTACCACTCATTCTGGCGTCCACCTGTTGTTCAACCTGTTCTTCAGGCACGCCTGCGCTCGCGAAGCAGGTGCGGAAGGACTGGCGGCCACAGGTCGTGAAATTACCACCGATCTCCCCCGTTCTGACCGTACAAACAAAAAAACTCTGATCAACCACCCAGGACTGTCGTAGGACACAGTCGGTGAAGGTTAGATATCCAGGTAACGATATGCGCCAGCCAAAAAATAAACGTTGAGTTGCTACCTGAAACATCTGACCGTTTCCAAGATCAGATCCAGTTGCTTGAGTTACTGTTTTTTTTGTCGTAGGGCAGTTGAAAATTCAATACATCATATCTTTTGTGTTGAAAGAAAATTTCAACTCTACTAGTATATTTAGTACTAGTATATATTGCATATTTTAAAAGGACCATGTGTTACTCACGCACACTGCTGAAGGGTAGTGTCCGGGTTGTGGCACATGGACGCCACGAGGTTGTCCTCGCACAGACGGAACTTTTCCAGCCACTCCACGTAGTTACAGCTGCCGACGTTAAACTGGGGGATCTGCTCGATAGCCGGGCGTTCTGACACGTCAGTCTGGGGCGCTGAGGTGTTCAAGATCGGAGCAGAGAGATGTTAGTTTCCAAGCAGAGGTTGTTAGGAGTAGGTTACGGTTATCGTCTTCATGTGTATCTGTATAGCAGTATAAGGTCGTATAACACATCAGCTTCGCAGACACACGGTACGTAGCCTGTCACACTTGTAAGTAGTAAGCCTTCGCACGTCTATTATAAACTTTAGGTGATTTTATGTAAATGAAGCCTAGGAGTCTACTGTACTTGGTAATAAATAATGCGTCTCACTCTAGGTTTGTTCTAGGAAAAACATGGATTTTTGAACACTTTAGGAGTTGGCGACCCTCTTACAAAACTACTAGTATTTCATACCTGCGTCACAGGGACAGTTTTCCATGAACGGGTTGAAGTCGTCCCACTGCGGGTCTAACCAGTCAATCACAGGGTCGGCATAGTTACACAGACTGGAGGCGAGCTGGTGCCAGCATTCCTTCGTGTACACGTACTGCCTACAAATTAGTACAAAAGTTTCAAGTTTCGACACAATCAAACTGCAAAATATACCAAGCTTTCCACATCTAGTTGATAGTTGACTCGTGTGGCGTACTGAGCGACAGAGCATTCGGCTCGGAACCAAGAGGTCCTGAGTTCGAATCCATGCCTCCGATCTTGTGCCATTGGGAAAGGCACTTTACACGAATTTCGTCACTGTACTCAGGTGAAAATGGTGTGTTACCGTTCATGCGGTCGTCTGCGTTGGTGGCGGCATGAAACCTGAAAAAAACTTGAGTGTGCCGTCGCCACGTCTTGTAATAAATGTTGGGAAAAAAGTTGATAGACTATAACCCTAGCTTCGTGTAGAATTAGAAGCCTTGTTTAGTAGAGAAACAGAAATATACAATATCAATTAATCCGATAATTCTCCATTACATTTGACTTACCTACACAAGGTTGGGTCGGCAGGATCATTCTGCCATTTCTCCAGGAAGGGAGCGTAGCACCATTCGGTCACCTGCACGGGGAAGTCGGCAGAACATCCCGCCAGGAACTCCGGGGGATCCCGCTGAACAAGATCGCCGCCATACCTGCAGTGCAAACGTGATGGTCAAGCTACATGAATAGATAAAACTTCCACCGCGACTGCTGAGTCGAGGTCAGCACTGGTACCCAAGTGCTGAATGGTACGGTGGCCCACAAGTACACACCTGCGTTGCCTGCGCGGACACAGAAGCTGATAGTTTTTATCGTCTGAATGCGCAGAGTCATCCTTCTTGATTATCAACGTACAAAAACAGTTACTCGAGCAACTGGATATGATTTTGGAAACTTGGAATCTTATTATAATTACCTGGATGTCTAATAACGACGTCCTCTATGCATCACCCAGTGTACAAAACAACAAATATCGCTCCACCTTACCCAGCGCAGTTGTCGGAGTCGTTAAAGATGAAGTTCTGGGCCATGGTTTGTTCCACCAGGGTGTTGACCTCCGCTGGGCTGCAGGAGTCGTGACAGTAGTTCCAGTCGTACAGAAGAGAGCGCACGCACCGGGTGAAGTTTGCAGCTATGTCTCCTGAACTAAACGGTCACAGAGTGATGCTTTTATATAAAAAAGGTCAGTGCAGGATCAACAGACAAAGACCTTTCATGGGTAGAGTAAATAGTATATTAACTAGAAAGGTAACATTTGCAAAGAAAATGCATAATGTTTACCTTGAAGTTCGCATATGGTCTGCTCTGTTAATTCTTACTCAAACACATTCACATATATGATGACAGGAGTTTAAATCCCTCCTACTATAAAATTGCAACATTGTGTAACCCAACACCAGTTACCATGGTGACATACAGTTTAGTTCAGGTCGTTGACCTTTTTGGTTTGGAGAAGAAGAGGAAGAAGGGGAAACTGAGCAAAAACTATATGTTGTCCTTCGGTAAACAGTATGATTGTGTGATTGATATGCTGCATTATTCTGCTGTACCTGCACTGCTGGACCGTGGTGCCGGGGTTCTGACACATGGACCGGACCAGACCGGTCTCACACCTCCGGAGTCCGGTCCAGAACTCCACAAACGTCATGTTAGCCCGGTCCAGACCGGACACGTCAGGACGTGACGTAGGACGGGCCTGATATGACGTCACTGTCAGTACAGACAGCACTGGAATAGTGAGATAGTGGGGTTCAAAAATTGCAAAGTGCCATTCCCGTCAGCGACATTTTCGCCAGGTTTTGTAGCCCTGGATTCAAACCTATTAAAGCTGCCGAATCTCTTTAGCAAATAGTGAGAACGAAAGAGACTCCGTAGCTAAAATAGGTGGTTGCAGCGTTTTACTGACAAAACGTGGCATGAAAACGTCCAACAATAGTATAAGCAACACACACGGTGCTTCAGCATGATTGAATAGCATTAACCAGCCACTGGGGTGACAGCGTATAACGTGCTTCTACCGTGGACTTTGAGCAGCATTGTACATACAATTGTAACAAACTGTAACTGATTGGCCATCACGATTTTTAAAAAATCTTTACCGTTTTATTGCAAACAGACTATAGCTACGTAGTACCCGTCGACGTCCACCCCTACCATAGCTGACGTGAATGGGGAACAAAAACAAACTAACAAATCGTTTATTTGACATGGTGTATTGAAAGACCTGGTTCTCAGTTCTGTTTGTTTTGCTTGCTATCCTAGCGGACGTTGGAGTTTTGAAGCCAGGCGTGGCATTCTATAAACCAGCCTTGCAGACGTCAACACGTTGATGCGTTGCAATTTACAAGTACAATATGAACCAGGTATATCAGAAGACCGTGGATTGTTGAACTCCACGGCCGTGCTCTTCATCACTATAATGATGAACTCCACGGCCGTGGAGTTCATCGATATAGTGATGAAATCAACGGCGATTCCGTCACTAATAGCGGCGATTGGCCGTGGAGTTCATCGATATGGTGATGAAATCAACGGCGATTCCGTCACTAATAGCGGCGATTGGCCGTTGCGTTCATCGATATGGTGATGAAATCAACGGCGATTCCGTCACTAATAGCGGCGATTGGTCGTTGAGTTCATCGATATGGTGATGACTTCAACGGCGATTCCGTCACTAATAGCGGCGATTGGCCGTTGAGTTCATCGATATGGTGATGACTTCAACGGCGATTCCGTCACTAATAGCGGCGATAGGCCGTTGCGTTCATCGATAAAGTGATGAAATCAACGGCTTTTCCGTCACTAAATCAACGGCATTTCCGTCACTAATCACTATAACTTAATGATGAATCCCACGGCCGTTGAGTTCATCGATATGGTGATGAAATCAACGGCGATTCCGTCACTAATAGCGGCGATTGGCCGTTGAGTTCATCGATAAAGTGATGAAATCAACGGCATTTCCGTCACTAATAGCGGCGATTGGCCGTTGAGTTCATCGATATGGTGATGAACTCAACGGCGATTCCGTCACTAATATAGTTCATTAATTCATACGGCATTTGTCTACACTCCAAGCAGGGTCGCACGGTATTTTGGCAGTATTTTTGCGTTTTTAATGCGTCTTTCTACCTTTACGGTTTTTGTTTGGTCGGAGGAGTAATATTTGCCACTTTGTACGACTTTTTCCTGCGCGGATGTCATCTGTCGAGTCACTTAGAATGACTATAATTTGTGAAATGAAACTTGGATGTCGATACTGATAGCAATTAATAAGATATGAATCGAAATAATGTTTGAATTTTGTATTGTACGCATTTATATTGTGTATTTCTATGACTGATTATTGTAACTGAACCGAAGCATTAGACCCCTGATCCACCTCCCCTTGAACTCTTGAAAAGCGGCTCAGGCCGAAGAGGTGTACTGTTACATACTGTACTTTTTCAAGGTTAAATAAGGGTTAAAAAAAGCAACTCCGTTGAAAAAGTGTAAAACTATATTTTCAGGGTCAAAATTTACATTTTTAATACTTACAGTGTCTACCCCAATTGAAGAGGCACCTAATAATATGCCCAAAATTCTATGGGAAGACGGCTGGAAATCTTTGTTCATCGATATGAGATTTTCGACATACTTCTCTAAATCCGGTCCAACAGCCTTGAGTATGGTTCGCAATGCATGGCGGTATAGCATCAGTTGTTTCGGCAGAACAATAGAAGTTCAACGGCGGCCATGTTTGTTCCCGTATAACAACAACATATTCATATAACATCACTGCATATCTACAACTGCAACCATTTTAAAACATAAATACAAATATGTAATTATGCAGGTTCTATTAAGCATGTGTTGAAGCCACGAAGAAATCGCTATAATCTCCAACTTGACACTGCATCCGGTGTTGTGTTATTGGCGGGGAAACCTGGCGTCCCCACCGCCGCAAATCTTTCGGCTCGTAAGTCTGTAAAATTCATCAAAATTGAGAAGAAAAAAATAATAACTACCGAACTCGGATATATAGTATCATGTGTAATCACTTAGAGTAACATACTCAGTAATTTTATCTTAGATTGAACCTAACTTGTCTGAAAGTTGTGATGGACTGTTAGTTGGTAACTGTTACTTTTAAAATCGGATGTTAGTGAACTGATGAGGAACATGAACGTTGTAGCAAAAGGAAATCAACGACACATATAAGTCAAAAGTGGAACAAAACTGAATCATGAAGAAAGCAAACGTTATAACTAGAAACCAACGTAAAAATGAAAAACGGATTTTAAAAAATTATTCGGTGAACCATGAAGCTTTTTTAACCTCCTTGTGTGAACGGTGTTTTTTAATTAATCTCCTTGGTGTTACCCAGCACGGTCTTAACCTTGATCCTGACGATTTGAATCTAAAAAATAAAAACAAGAATGACAAGCTTTTGCCTTACACTACCTAAATCTGAAATAGAAATTAAAGCTGTCTGATTTCGTTATATAAATCACCAAAGTCGTATAGACTACTACTGTAACACTCGGGTCTCGCGCCAAGCTGATATACTATAATGCATGACGGGATAGCGTCATTTTGTTTATGGTCGCCATCTTTTCAGCGTCCCGGCCGGGCAAGTATGAAAATAACTTGATACTAGTACATACAGGTTGGCCTGGGCACGTTGTGAGGACGCATGATTTGTGTTTACTAGGCTGTTCAGGAGCCGGATGTCAGCAAGACTAAACTTACAGTCTTTTATCGGTACAAAAAAGAATCGTTATTCCAACAAGGCTATCACGTCATTGCAAAAGGAAATCAGCGCTACAGAACAAAGTACGCCTATGAAGATAAACAAAACTCGAAACGGAAACGGTATGATTAAAGAGACCCCTAGCCTCAGCTTGCTGGAAATGTATATACATTGTATTTCAAGGAAAATATGAGTAAATGGCAACCCACAACACATTCGCAGCGATTGAATATGAAATACCGAACAAGGTTTTTATTTTTGCTACAGCCGTAACTCAGATCTCCCGCCTAGCGTCATTATAATGAATGACGGGATAGCGTCGTTTTGTTTTTTGTCCGCCATATTTTTCTACCCCGTACTAGTACTAGCGTCCTGAGTACTAGCATGTATGAGAATAGGGGAATAGCCGTAAAGTCTAAGCCGCTCGCTAAGTCATTTGTATAGCGTGAGGTTGACACACATCATTATGTTTTAATTTGAGGACGAACATTTTGTGTTCGTTGTCGAGGAGCCGGTTGTCGAACACGACTGTCCGTATAACTATAAGACTTACTCGTAATTGCGTGTGTGTCTTCTTCGGACATTTTTTTGTACCGTAGTATATAACAGGCTTTTTATGTGTGTGTGTTCTACCGAGTTTCAATGAGTAATGAAGACCTTTATTGTACAAACATACCCACTGGGTTAGGTACAAAGGTTAACTTGAATACACAAATATATACACAACAAGATCAATCTAGTACTAGCACTACAGTCTGTTACATAACTTCGACTTCTTTTCGCTTCTCTGTGATGTTGAAAAGATAAGAACATACAAGTTTGAGGATCGAGGGTTTGTCTAAGTTCATTAAAAATGTGAATTTGTCTGTATTACTTAGGTGTGTAAAGTGGGGAAACATCGATATTATCTATGTCTATAAAGTTCAATTCTCGCACTGTTATACAAACTACATTCTACTACAATCCGCAGTTCCCACAATGCGGCGAGACAATTTCATAGTCCTTCTGACGAAGACAATGAGGTTTACTATCTCAACAGGTTTTTTCTCATACATGAAGGACAGGTCTTTTGGTAGGCGACCACCCTATCGATGAACTCAACGGCCAATCGCCGCTATTAGTGACGGAAATGCCGTTGATTTCATCACCATATCGATGAACTCAACGGCCTATCGCCGCTATTAGTGACGGAAATGCCGTTGATTTCATCACTATATCGATGAACTCAACGGCCAATCGCCGCTATTAGTGACGGAATCGCCGTTGATTTCATCACCATATCGATGAACTCCACGGCCAATCGCCGCTATTAGTGACGGAAATGCCGTTGATTTCATCACCATATCGATGAATGCCGTTGATTTCATCACCATATCGATGAACTCAACGGCCAATCGCCGCTATTAGTGACGGAATTGCCGTTAATTTCATCACCATATCGATGAACTCAACGGCCAATCGCCGCTATTAGTGACGGAATCGCCGTTGATTTCATCACCATATCGATGAACTCAACGGCCAATCGCCGCTATTAGTGACGGAAATGCCGTTAATTTCATCACCATATCGATGAACTCAACGGCCAATCGCCGCTATTAGTGACGGAATCGCCGTTGATTTCATCACCATATCGATGAACTCAACGGCCAATCGCCGCTATTAGTGACGGAATCGCCGTTGATTTCATCACTATATCGATGAACTCCACGGCCGTGGAGTTCATCATTATAGTGATGAAGAGCACGGCCGTGGAGTTCAACAATCCACGGTCTTCTGATATAGCTCTATGAACCTTAAGTTAAGTTTCTATGGTGTAATGGAAGATCTTGGAAGCCCATTCTGTGTAACATTACCCAAACAAACCTGTACAAATTAATAGAATCCAGTCATTTGGATTCTAAGATTGTGCAAATTAATTTCAGAGGGTCTCATCTGTTCTTACCTTTTTACCATTACTAAGAAGCGAGAAGTCGAACTCACTCAGTGGTAGTCACTTGACAATGTTACATGTTTGTAACGTTACCTGTATTCTATTTTTCTGTTGTGACTTGTACTTAACCCTGTGGATATACAATGAAGGTCTTCCGTCATTACGTTAGTAGTTACCTGTTAAAAACAGCCACGTTTGAGTCCCCATTCCGTGGATAGATGTTGAGGTAGGAAGGAGCGAGTTCTCTGTATCCACAAACAGACCTACTAAGATGAGCCACAGCACCGTGAGCCTGTAGTATAGCGACGGCTTCTGAAGAAATGACCTTTGCTTAGCTTGTGTGCCAGACTCTTGTCACTCAGGGTCAGTATACAGGCGCACCTCGGCTCCGCTATTTTCCGTCTCGTAAACGGTTGATGCCATTTGAAACGGTCGATGCTATTTTGCTGAATGGTCAATGCCATATCCGAGCGTCCAAAATCGACTAAAAAGTAATTTATACTACAAAAAGCTATATGGAATTGTAAATATTAGTACAAAAAAAAGCACAAGCTCGGATTCGAACCCGGGTCCAAAAGTGTAGCTTCAAAACCCTAACGCCGCGAAGCATCACGGTGTGGATGGACCATACTGATACACTTAAAGTTAGCCGTTCTGCGATATAGTTCGAACCGTTTCAAATAGCATCGACGGTTTACGAGACGGAAATTAGCCTCGGCTCCATAGATCCCATGGAAATTTTACCATAGACTCCACTCAGTTAGTTTGGGTAAGAGATAAATTAGACCATTGGAGCCAAATCTGGGTTCGGGGCTTGCCGCCATAAAAATGATGATAAGTGATGCTAATGCTACTTTGGATATAGTTATTGTTGGGTTTGATTTCTTTTCTGTATGCAGTGGAGTATGAAATGGCCGACACTAAGTTTGCGAGATGTATGGATTAGGAGGTGCAGTTTTTTGTAGGCTGGGAAGGTGACAAAAGCTATGGAATATTTTGGTGACCATTTCAAATAACAAATATAGTACTCCTGTGCACTGTCGTATAAGCCATGTTTCAGACATACAATCCATGTTTCATATACTAGTATATATTGTACCAAGTTTTATATATATATTGTGTCAAGAACTTGTCATACAATGTACCTGTTACAATTGTTATAATAATAAAGTGTGACTGACTGACTGACTGACTGACTGATTGATTGATTGATTGATTGATTTGAACCGAACGACCAAATAGATCAGATCAAATAAAAGTGTAATTTCCAGTTGTCCCTCCGTACTGTCCCCTCCCCAGTTTTCAGAATGGAGTAGTCCTAAAAGGTCACCCAGGGGTTGTTCTAGGTCGATGAACCCGGAAGTGTAGGCCATTCGCGCTACGTGCCTCATTATTTTGATTACTCAACGCTATGTATACACCGCGAGACGTCACAATTGTTTCCAGAATGGCACAGGAAACGCACTTCTGAGAACTGAGGCTACGTGCACTGTGTCGCCAACACAGGAAATGACGTCAGACCGTCAGCGATAAAGCTATATATAAGATCCACGGTACAGGCGATTATGGTATTTCAGAACACGTCCGCTGAACGTTAGTTAGCTCACAGGCATCTCAGAGAGAAAAGGTATGTAAAATGCATCTTTTTGGCTGTCATTCTTACAGCAGATATTAGAGCGTTTTGTTCTGGTGGCATGTTGATATTCAGTTCGGAAGAGCTTTCCAAATTCCAGGGTTTTAACAACAACATAATATTATGTGTTATTCACCCTGTTATGCTACAACAGTCATGATCTATTAAACGTTACATATACGTGCATGCATGTGCATTCAAATTGAAAAGCACAGTGGGCTTTGTATTTAGATCAGGATTATGGCTGTGTGATTTAGTAGAAGAAACAATAACAATAAAAACACCAACGTTTGTACAGTGATTTTGAGTTTGACCAACTTGGTTTGACTTATTAATTTGTATTCCAGTCACGCACAGACTGGGGGTCGTAGACAGGTCAGACCATTCTATCTGGGTGTGGAACGTTAGCCTGTGTGAACGTCACGTAGAAAAGGCAATCTACAACTCATGGCTCCACAGAGAAACAATCATGCAAATGTCACAATAACGGGCCTAAGGTGAACGCAAGAAACACAATGGGATGAAGCACTGCATGAATATAACGTAACAGTTACATAAAGCTGCTGTGTCATGCTGGACATTTCCTTGATTATTCTAACGGTGGTCCTGGACAAACCTGTGGTCGGATATATGTAGTTGGCCTGTCGGAACAGGAACAAATAAACCCTCAAGAAAAAATCTTGTACTATGTGTTCTGATCCAGTGATTGTATACCAGTTTTCAGATGGCTACCGGTTTTCTGTTGTCTGTCTACCTCACTAGGCGGCGCTTTCCCATCCTGAAAGTCTAAGCAGACTCAAGGAGGATCCTACAAACATCTTGCTTTTAATAAGCTGGCTCCTTTCATCTGCTTGGAGCTGAGCCCTTCCGGGATGGGGATGAATGTTTTAGCTTTTATGTCATTCTTCCGCTGGGTGACAAACATTTTATCTCTTAGGCTGATGACACGCCCTAGCTTTGTTTCATGACAAACATTATATCACTTCCTGGAGTGACATACCTACGTTTCATGACGTGTGAAGTGACTGAAGTTTGTTGACTCATTGTCCCATAACAATAACATTAAGCAATCTTAATCAAGCAAACCACATTTCTTTGCCGTTTTTACAGGGAAGAACAGACAGGATGGAGTTTAGACTGTGTTTGCTGCTGTTGATGCTGGTACAACTGGCAAGCCAAACCCAGGGAGAACCGGCGATGGCGTGTCACAACGTCACCGGAGCGAGCGACGTCTGCTACTGCTCCGCCTTCGGTCGGGACCGGGAGGTCGCTTGTGACGGTAGAACCCTAACAGAACTGCCGACGGGAATTCCCGCTGACACCAAGACCCTACAGCTCAACAACAACAGGTTAACGTCACTCCCGGCACGAGCCTTCTCCACCTTCCGTCAACTGACCAACCTCCAGATATCAAGGAATCGCATTTCCCAGATCGAAGTCGGCGCTTTCGACGGCTTGAATCTTCTGGACAATCTTCAGTTGGACAGGAACGAACTGGCAACTCTGGAAGATGGAACCTTTCAAAGTCTTATATCTTTGAGATACCTCGACCTTGGAGACAATAGAATCTCCTCCTTAAGCGTTGGTGTCTTTAGCGGACTCGGCAACTTGACAAGACTGAAGCTTGACGGGAACGCCATATCAAGTCTTCCTCAGCGTATTTTCTCCGATCTAGTGTCACTGCATACGGTGAACCTTGCCAAGAATAACATTGTTGACCTGGACGGTGTCCTAGCTGTTCTGCCGTCTCACGTTCGAGACATAGACCTCTCCGACAACCAGATCTGGCGTGTGGACGTAGACGCCTTCGTGAGATTCCCAGACCTGTACGGCTTGAATCTGCAGGGTAACGGGTTAGGTAACCTCGCGCCTGGGGTGTTCAACGGAGTCCCCAACCTCTTCAGACTCCGTCTTGACAGTAACAAGATGTCTGCTATTCCTCAAGGCCTCCTTCAAGGAGTGGGTGGGCTGGGTCTGTTGTATCTAGACAACAACCCATTGCTTGAGCTGGACAGGAACACTTTTGTCAGTGTTCCCGAGCTTCGTTACATTCATATCGTTAACATAAGTCTTTCGAACATCGAGGCCGAACTTTTCCGTCCTGTGCCGAAGTTACGTGGTCTTCAACTTGGCTCCAACAGTCTCTCGTCCCTTCCACAGGGGATTTTTGCTAACCTTTCCAACCTTAACACCTTAAATCTGCAGGACAACAAACTAGAGAGCCTGGATAGCAACGTCTTTGCGGACCTTGGCAATGTTCAGTGGCTCGATCTGAGGAAAAACAACATCAAAACGCTTCCATCCGACATTTTCCGACTAATGTCCAAATTGCTTTCGATCAATTTTCAGGACAATTCACTATCCGCTCTTCCCGTAGACATATTCCAGAACCTGACTGAGCTAACTAGAATCTCTTTCGATAACAATAACCTCACCACAATAGAAGATGGTACTTTTGATAACTTGCCAAATCTGGAATCTATCGATCTCTCAGGAAATGTGCTGAAGGATGTCTCGTGCGAGACATTCCCGCCTGACAGACCCACGCCTCCTCAGTACA